AACCTTCACAGGAGTTTGTTTATTAGCGGTGCATAGATTTTGACGCAGTATACCTAGCCGTTTTTGTTGTTTTGTTTTTGTTTCAATGTTTAAGCAGCTTCTAAGAGAAACTTGGCCAATAGCGAAGAAAAAAACTGATAAAATCTCTCCTTCTCATTCAAGATTGAAACATAAAAATAGTCCTATGACCTATGCAGGAGTATTTTTAATAGGCTTTCCCAAGTTTGAATAAAACATTCATATCCATTTTTTCTGTAGGCTTGTGAAATAAGAATAATATCAATAATAATAATAATATGAAGAACAAATAGATGAATTTTGTCTAACAATCTGAAAATCAACTTTTTTTGCTATTATTATTATTTTAACGGTCTTAGTCATCTAGTAGGTCTTGAGTGTTCTTTCAAGAACAAGCCTGTTGTTAAGATGGTTTTGCCTGTATGTTCTATTAGAATTTCGGAAATTTCTGGGCGATCCTTATTATGAACCACTATCCAAACGCACTTGATTGTATTAAAGAACGTGAAAAAATACATTTAGTTTCTGCATTTCTATTGCTAAAGAGAAAGATGTTATAACAACTTGATTAGAATAAAAACTAGGTGTGACGTAGTGGTTAGTGTACGAAGACTGTGGAGCCAACAATTCTAGTTTCGCGATCTATTTCCACAAAACATGCTCCGCACATTCAGTTTGTAGTTGCGCTATAAAAATGAAGGTTAAATCCCACTATACAATCAGTTCAAAATTAGGAATGGCTATGCGTAGATAGCTTTTGTGGAGCTGAAACAAACAAACAGAATATTATAAATCTTTTACATTTTCAATAGATAACTATTACAATGCAAGGACAAATAAATTAGGATGTAGGTTAGAGACTAATTTCACATAAACCACGAAATTATTGTTTGAAGATCTTCTGCGGGATTAATAGAACTGGGATTTTTCCAAGATAATGTCTTCTCCTCTGAACAGATACAAAGATAAATACATAGAAACAAACTCTATAAAGAATTGATAAATTTTCTTCTTCAGATGTGGTTTAGTTGCTGTTAAGCACAATGCTACGCAATGGGCTATCTGTGCTACCACAAATATTGAAATCCGATTTTTAGCGTCATAAGCAGTCTTCTTTAGAAAGTGAACCTCAGTACTTTGTTGTTATTTTGTTCAAACAAACCCATCCACTCCAATTGTGGAGAGCGATTGTTTTGGCGATAACAGTGCGCGATCCACGGAACCTCTGTACTTAATTGGTGAAAAACTAGCCATGATTAACAGTAAAAATTAGCTTACTCTCACTTTAATTTAACTTAACATTAGAGAAACAACTTCTGTAAATCTGCACATAATAAAATCATAGTATTATCTAATAAAAACTTATTTTAGTTTTCAAAAGAATTAATGCCCTTCAGCCACAAGATCTTAAGAGCTGCTTATGGAATAAATACATTTTCTATTAGACATAATCAAGTAAAGAGTAAAAAATGTATAATATAAAGCACTAAAATATGAAGATAAATATCAATTTTTAGAACTTCTTTTGATTACCCTTATATAATAGTCACCATATTAATTTTTACATAATTACTGATATAATGTTTTTGCAGTTGCTCCTACATGCTTTCATTCATCGTAAACATAAAATAAGTATACATAACACAATGTTTAGGGACAACACGGGGCCTATTGGCCCATCTAGGCTGTCCCATCCTCTAAACAGATTATGTTAGGTATACAAGACTGTTTAGTTTAAGAATTATTATTTAATTTATTTAGGGATTTAATATTTCATTATTATTTAGTTTTAACAACAAGAGTGTTAAGAGTTAATTATTTTAAAAGCGATAGTTATGATAAGTTTCGTTACGTAACTCTGTACGAGTCGTATGTTGTGTATGCAGTTTGATTGTTGTATTAGGCTTTTTTAATACTGTTGACGTCATCTTACTCGAAGCTTCTTAGTTTTTATCGTTATGTGAAAATTGTTGTCATTAGAGGACTAGATATTTTTAGATTGTTTTATTATAGATACGCGCAGATTCAGAGAAGCAGTTAGTGAAATGAAAGTAAGTTAGTAAAAATTAAAAAATGAAGGTAGACTGTGTGATTGTCAGTTTAGCCATAACGGGCGATTTCTAAAATGATTTTTACAGCCTTTAATTGTAACAACAAAGTAGAAGAGAATAATTTGTCTTGTCAAAAGGTGTTCCTTGACAAGACAAATGGACTTTGACGAAAAAGAGACAATTATTTAAAACTCTGGCTATAACTATGATAACCAGTAATATAACGAATTTTTGTATATACATTTCATTTGTTTTAAATATATTGCTCTAAAACAAGTTGATTGTATGCTGTCCATTTATTGTTCCATTTATCGCCAACAGATCACTGACATCTACTGTAAGGAATCCCGGCCTTATATGACTTGACAAACTAAAACTATTTAAAAAACAACCTCAAAGCCAGCACCTATCATTCTTATAGCTATTAAGTTTTTCTTAAACTCACTTCAATTTACTGAAGGTAACCCATTCCAAAGGCCAACCACCCTTTTAGAAAAATAAAACTATCTTAGCTGAAAATGATTCCTACCCTGTCAGAATTGATATCAGTGTATCCTAGTCTTACCACTCTCACCATTAAAGATGAAAAAAAGATGAAGCATCAACACAATCAATTCCTTTAACAGTCTTAAACACCTCAGTCAGATCCCTTCTAACTTCTTTTCTCAAGAGAAAACAATTTCAGAGATCTTAACCTCTCCTCGTTTTACAGCCCCCCATCTCAGGCACCATTCTAGTAACCCTTTGAACTATTTCCAAGAATTCAATGTCCTTCCTAAGATAAGGAGCTCAAGACTGAACAAAGTACTCCAAATGTGGGTTAACCAGTGACATATACAACAAAATTATAACCTCTTTAGTCTTGTATTCAATATTTCTGTAGATACAACCTAAAATCCTATCTGACCTACTACTAGCAACAGCACACTGTTCGGATAGTGAAAGAGACTGATAAACCACTACAACAAGATCCCCTTTCTTTTGTAACACTGTTAATGTTATTCCTATCCAGATTATACCTATAATTTAAATTATGATAATCCACATGCATTATCTTGCATTTATTTTAATTCAAACCCATCTGCCATTCATTCGCCCAACTCACTAAATGATGTAAATCCTTTTGTAAAACAGCAACATCCTTCTCACAGCCAGCAACACCCAAGTAACTTGTTTACCATTACTTCATCTATATCATTGATGTAAATCAAAAAGAGCAAAGGTCCTAAGACTGAGCCCTGAGGTACCCCACTTGTGAACTTAATCTAGTTTGATTGAACTCCATTTAGAACAACCCTCATCCTTCCATCCAGCAACTTTTCTATCCAATTAGCTAATTTATTCCCCACACCTACAGAGATAAACTGTTTTACAATCCTTTTATGTGGTACCTTGTCATATGCTTTCTAAAAACCCAGATATACCAAACCTACACCCTTATTTTCATCTACAGAAGTAGTAATCTTTTCAAAGAATGTCAAATATTTGTAAGGCAAGATTTTCTCTTAGTGAATCCACGTTGACTATCCAATAAAATTCTAAACTTTGTTAAATGACTTTGCAAAGCATTTTTTATCAACCTTTCCAAAACATTTCTCACTAAGACTAATAGGCCTATAATTACTGGTACAATTATTATCACCTTTCTTGAAAAGATGAGTAACATTAGCCAATTTTTTTGACAAGCTCAGAACTAATATGATCATTTTGTTTCCATCTACCAATTCTTCAAAATGTGGAACATTGGCAAAATCATCATTAGTTAAAACCGAAGAAAAAGCAGAATTTAATAATCCAGCCATCTCATAATAATCAGATACGAGCCTTCCTTTATCATCCCTCAAAGGTCCAACCCCTCATCGTAATTTTTTTTTACCCTTACTGTATTTAAAGAAATACTTACTGTTAATTTTTACATTTTTAGCCAACCTATTCACATACCAGTCTCAAGTTGCTCAGCTTGCTTTAATAAAAATATTTTTCTCAACTTTACGCCTTTTAAGATATATAAAGGTGATATTAGATTTAAAGAATCTCCGAGATAAGTCATTTTGCAGTTTCGAAGTGTATCAGCTCTCCTCAGCTTAGCTTGTGTTCCAAAATCTCCATAAAATTAATATATTGTTACGTCTCCGTTCGTTAATTAACTTTCCGTAACTTCGTTCCGACTAAACTTTAGCGACACAAGTCCTTACTTAATAAAACTGGTTTATTCTTTCCGAATATAACTTTACGATACACTTAATTTCAATATTCGCGCTAAAACAAACAC